TTTAGGGGGTTTAGGGGGTTTAGGGGGTTTAGGGGGTTTAGGGGGTTTAGGGGGTTTAGGGGGTTTAGTGGTTTAGGGTTTAGGGGGTTTAGGGGGTTTAGGGGGTTTAGGGGGTTTAGGGGGTTTAGGGGGTTTAAGGGGTTTAAGGGGTTTAGGGTTTAGGGGGTTTAGGGTTTAGGGTTTAGGGTTCAAGGGGTTTACTGTAGGGCTTAGGGTGCAGTTCCCCTTTTTTTTGAGCTCCCTTCTTAGAGTGGCGAGTTTACTTGCAGCACAGGCAGCCTGGACTTCGGGAATTTGTACCATGGCCTGACGAAGGCTCTGCAAAGTCAGGAACTTCAAAAACCCTGAACCCTGAACCCTGAACCCTGAACCCTGAACCCTGAACCCTGAACCCTGAACCCTTGAACCCTGAACCCTTGAACCCTGAACCATGAACCCTGAACCCTGAACCCTGAACCCTGAACCCTGAACCCTAAACCCTAAACCCTAAGCCCTAAGCCCTAAACCCTAAACCCTAAGCCCTAAGCCCTAAACCCTAAACCCAAACCCTAAACCCTAACGGAGTACGCTCTTAGACGCCGCAAAGCCGTCGCTGAAGTCAACTCAACTGTGCAACTTTGGGCATGCGACCCTTCCCGTAAACCCGAGACCCCAAAAGCCTAAACCCTAAAGCTGGACAAAGCCATGATCCCAGAACCCAGAACCCTAAACCCTAAACCCTGAACCCTAAACCCTAAACCCTAAACCCTAAACCCTAAACCCTCCTCCCGGCAAGACCCTGCGCGTGGAGCTCGTCAACGACGGGCCGACCTCCTGCGGCTTCAGCGCCTCTGTGTTGGAGGACATCCTTCGGGTTTGAGGGTTTAGGGTTTAGAGGCTAGGGGTTATTTAGGGTTTAAGGGCTTGGGTTGTAGGGTTTAGGGTTTAGAGACTAGGGGTTATTTAGGGTTTAAGGGCTTGGGTTGTAGGGTTTAGGGTTTAGGGGTTGCACCTCTTAGCCCTGTAGGTTGTTGTGTATACAATATCACGTAGCTCGACCCTGAGCACCAAGCCCTAGCTTTGTCACCAGTGCACTTTCGCATCAGTGTGCCAGGCACATGAGGGGGACGGCCCGGACCTCAGACCTTATTACTTTTCGCAGGGGTTGTACACTCAGGGCTATACACTGTGCATATACGGCTGTGTATTTCTATTTACTACTACGACACATGTACTGCGACACATTACCGTCATGTGGTCTTTATATTGCTGTCTCCAGACAAGGGTTCAACTTCATCCGAAAGAAGGCACCCGGCGGGGTCGCATACATCATCTAGGTTCGCTACCGGTCCTAGACGAGCTCTCTGACTCATGGTCCTCTTTTCGCATGTTAAAAACTCGAAGCCCTAAACCCTGTATACTACGAAAGCCCACAAGTATGAGAGCGGGCTGTCGAGGCATGGCCAGCGCTCTTGGCACCCTGCCCGGCGCCTCGTGCCCCAAGGAGACGGTGGAGAAGGCATGCGCGACTGATTCTTCCAACTGAGGGGGTTGTTCCAAATCTTGGGGCCTTTGTCGTCCACAAGCGGGTCTGTCACGTAGACCCCGCCCCCCTCCCATTTGTTGAGCGTGTCGCTGGCGACGCTCGGAAGCCTCCAGCTACTTGAAAATGCCATGCTCGGTTGTGGACTTCGTTGCTTCAGCTCCTTGCCACTTGTGCCATACGAGTGTGCCCTTGAAACATACATGTTGTCAAAGCTTGTGTGAAGAGTCCGCTTCGAAGGCGCAGCAGCCGCTCAGCGTGACACCGTTTGCAGGAACTGTGCCACTCATGCAACTAGGGGACTTTGGGTGTTTAGGGCTTAGGGACCCAAAGCACCGACGCTCGTATCCATGTTGCGCGGCTTGCCGGCCTATGCCTCAACATGTGGGTGCTTGAAAAAAAGCCCCTAGACCTAAATCCTGAAACCTTAAAGCCCTTCAGCCCCCACACCCTGAAAACTCTGAAGCCCTGAAGCCCTGAACCCTATAACCCAAAAACCCGAGACCCTATAACTCGAAACCCCACACCCTCCTCCAGGTGCCTGCGTTTGGCAGCGTCCCTTTGGAATTCACTTTTGCGCCGCCTGTTTTCAGGGAGGGCCAGGCCGGGTTTGCGGCTGAGCCTCATTGGGCTAGGGGGGCCTTGTTTTTGCTGCCAGCAAGCAGACTGAGCGGAGTTGTCTTCTGGCTGGCAGGGCTTCCTCTGCAATCGGACGCCTGAGCGTCATTCCGCGCGACACGAGTTTGCCGGTAAGATTGAAAGCGAGGACGGCAGTCGGCACATGCTCGGCTGTGACTGTTCCGACCAGTTTTCAACAAGGTCTCGTGGCGATAACATAGCCTAAAGCAAAGCTCTAAAAGCCGCTAGCCCTGGTGCGCTGGGACAGGAGCTCAACCTGGCTCTACCTTTGAAACTGCTGGGCACGGCAGTGCTGCCGGCCCTCAAGGCACCGCAGAGCATTTGCTGTATTGTTGTTCTTAGTGCTGCTTACGATTAGTCTTCTTATTCTTATGAGTATTTGACATGCTTGTGATATTTGTGTTGATGATGAAAGTTGTTGAGTTACTATGTTTATTATCACTATGTTGGTGTTTTTCTTCTTATTGCTATCTTTCTGTTCAACCAGACCGAACATACTTGTGGACTGCATCTTTGTCTCGCGCCTGCGAGGTTTCTCCCGACATGCTGCAGTTTGGCCAGTGCCCTGTGAACCACAGGCGCAATCTACACTCTGTGAGAACTGCCGATCGACCCACCTGTGGCATGACTTGCATGACTGGTGTTTTCCGCCTTTGCCAGGCGAGACATTGTCCTTCGGATCACCAACGCCGCGCAAAGCATGCCCTTAGACTTTGAAATCCCTCGTGTGCGCCCAGCAGCAGGAGAGAGTTGGGTAATGCCTCCGAAAAACTCAGCTCTTCAATTTCCCGCCAGGTACCACATATGAGCATTCAGCCAATGAAGGGCAAGCTGGCTCCCCTGCAGAACACCAACGTGGTGGTCTCCTTCACGCCGAAGGAGAGATCTAGCGAGCACATGTCTCGTGTGGGGTTTGAGTGCTGCTAATGAGAGTTGCCACGGTAATCATTGTTGTCACGGCAGAACTAGACATCTTCAGAATCGTAGGAACAGTAGCAGTGATATTCCGCTGTCCTGGCAGGCGCTTGGCAAGTTTGCGCAGGATCTCATCATCAAGTACTGTACCGCCCCCCAGAGAGACTTCCTGATGGGGCTTGGAGAGAGAGAGAGAGAGAGAGAGAGAGAGAGAGAGAGACAGATGGACGGACAGACAGACAGACAGAGAGAGACAGAGACAGTGCAAACGGTTTGCAGTCTGGTAGGGAACCCGTTTGGCCGTCGCGGCTGTGGACCTCCTTCGGGGGGGCCCTCTCAAGCGAGGAGAAGAAGAGACAGTGCACACTCCCCCCCCCCCATCCAACCCAGACCAGCGATGAGAAGAGCCTTGAGTTTTATTTTGATCTTCCACAGCCTGCTGTGGGGAGGCAGTGTGAGCTCGAGCTGCATGTCGCTGCTCATTGGCTGAGAGCGCCCAGAGAGTGGCCAAGGTTCGAATCTGTACTCCCACACGATGAGATGCTTCGGTGAGGCTGCCGTTGCATGTTGCCTTGGCGAGAGTGCGTGCTTCGAGGAGTCACGCCCTGTGAGGCCCCAGTTCTGGGTGAGAAGGTGGTGCCAGTGAAGGGTTTGGAGCGGACCGGTCGCGATTTCGACCCGGAGCCCCTTGATGGCAGAGTTTTTCATATAGAAGATTAGATATCTTTTGAAACATATCTGTATATGATATACATGATGAGCTGGCCACCTACTGCCTAGGGTTGGGACAGTCACCTCTCCCAGTGATACTTCCGAGGTAAGATGTACCCTCAGGAAGCAATGGCTGGGATATCTTTTGGGAGCCTCCCGAGGATGATGGTCCCATAGTACGCAGTCGGCCTAGACGTAGTCACCTCTAAGGTATATATACACATACACACTGTAAGATAGTACTGATTGTTCTTGATCATAGTTACATAGGTAGATTGTAATGATAATATTGGTGACAGTAATGTTGAATCCTGTGCGGTGTTGCCTCTGTCATGAATTGTGCAGTGGTATGTCGATGTGAGGCACGTCTACGTGAACCAGGACTGCCGAGTACGTCTGACCTACAAAAAGCCAAAGGCATGGCGTCCGAGCGAGATTTTTTACATATTAACCTCTGCATGGGTTCCGCATGTGCTCTACATACATACATAAATAAATAATCAAACAAAAAATCAATCAATAAATAAATACATATATATATATATATACATATACACACCCCCAAAATGGCCCAAATATTGTCGACAGTCAGTCAGTCGGTCAGTCAGTCAGTCAGTCAGTCAGAGAGTGTGTGTGTGTGTGTGTGTGTGTGTGCGCGTGCGTGTGCGCTTCCGCCATGTGGAGCTAATACCTTTCGTTGATGCTGTTTGATCTTGGTGGTGCGTACTGCTTCCGCGGTGGGTACAAGTATCTGTATGTAAAATTGTGTATCCTCTCTCTCTCTCCCTATGTAAAACGGGTAATCCATAAATGACGGTAGCAGGAAGATGTAAACCCTAAACCCTAAACGGTCCGCAAGATCATCCTGCAGGACCAATTGAACCTTCCACCCCGGACGCGCCGCCAGCCAGCAGGAAGCCGGAAGTTTTTCACCTTAGGACGCCTTGATTTACGTGGGGTCCTCCCAATCCCCAAACCCCAAACTCCAAAAGGCCCATTTCTTGGCTGTCGCAGGCGTGTCGCCCTAGAAAGGCAGAAGATCCTGCACAGCCAGGGGTTTCCAAAAAAAGCCCAGCGAATCACAAGCCAACAGATCCTGAGGCCCCAGAAGGAACCCTAGAACACCCGAAAACCGTGAAAGGCACAAACCCTCCAAGGCAACCTCCAAACCTTGACGAAGATCATGAAGGCCGAGCCCGGACCTGGTTCTCCAAATGGTGATCCAAGGATTAGGGTAGATTAGGGTAGATTAGGGTATATTAACGGGTATATGAGGGTATATGAGGGTATATTAGGGTATGTTAGGGTATATTAGGGTATATTCGGGTAAATGAGGGTATTTTCGGGCATATGAGGGTGTATTAGGGTATATTGGCGTTGAGGGGGCGGTCCTCAGGATGCGGTCCCTTAGAAGTTCGGAGCCCCACCAAGGGCTTAGATCAGAACTAATAGGACGGCTGGGTTAAAGGTTTCGGGCCGGGTGGAAGGTGCAAGGGGGCACAAGGCCAAGGGTGAGGTGGTCGTCACTATTCTTTCCCACCCCTCCCAGCCTTTTGGATCTTGCGTTCTGGCAGTCGCGCTGGATTCCCTTTTCCAGGTCGAGGTTCCCCTTGTGCCAGACTGGTCAGTTTCCATGTCTGGCCAGGAGGACCTAGAGAGGAACCAGAACTCTTCAGATGCCTTGGACTCCATCATGCTCGACTTGCTTCGACCTCGGAGTCTTCGAGCATGTCTTGAACGCATGAGAGTGCAAGGAGCCTTGGGCTTCCACAGCGGCCCCGACTGAGGCCTGAGCCGACGCCCTACTCGCTCTCGCCTTCCGCGATGCAGGCCTGGCTCTCCGCGAGTTCTAGCCTCTCAGCAGCCTTGCTGAAAGTGTGAGCGCAGGAGCATGTGCGGAACAAACAGCGGTACAACAAGATGCTGAAGGACATGCCCTTGCTCATCGCATGCCGGTGGCAGATGCTTGACACTTGAAGCCCGTGCGCGCAGGAGTCAAGGTTGCGGCGGAAAGCCCGTCTGCAAGAACAGAAGAACCCGACAGAGCCAATTGCCTTTCTCCCAGCGAGTTCTCCTGCAGAACCGGTGTTGGTGGGCTGCCTCTTGGGCCACATGTTGCTTTGCCCAGGACATCTTCTACGAGGATGATGTCAACATGGGAATGATGCCTGGGTCGGGCCTCAAAAGCCCGCCCCTCAGCCTGCTTGGAGGCGCTTATCGGGAATGGCTGGGCCTCGCGTGTGTAGGGCAGATGCCAAGTTGCGAGTTCCCAGGTCCCCGGTACAATGTGGATGACATCCCAGTGGACAGATTACACCTGGAGCGTGCATTGGATGATGACAGCGCAGCACGCGGTGTAACTGGTCATCGCACCTCGGCCGGAGTAGTGCAGGTTGGGTGGTCGTTGGTTCGGCCAATGGCCAGTCATCAAGCTTGTTCGAGCATCCTTGTTCACTCATCCGCTGAGGATACATGCACGACGAGAACAAGCTCATCAAAAAGAAGTACAAGGCAAAGAGCCCTGCTCCAATCGACATCTTCTGGGGGCTAGGGGTGGACGAGATCCGGGGGCTCATCAGGGGGGCTCGCCTTTTTGCTTTCCCCGCAACATTATAGCACAGGTATTGTAAAGTAGTGCAGTGTAGTGTCGTGTAGTGAAATTTATGTAACACAAAACAACGAAGTCTAAGTATAACATAACTGTAACATAACACAATCTGGTCAGAGCATGTTTACAAGATGAATGTCAAAGCAAGTTACGCCATGCTTTCGATACGCCAGGCCGGTCCAACTACCCAGGCGGAGGTACGAGAGTGCTCTGCCAGCGGGGGCGCCCGACGATGGTGCAAGCCTACAGGGGGTTTCCCAACACAGGGAACGCCCCCCAAAAATATAAATTCTGACCGAAGAACCCTGAATATAGTAAGCCCCCAAGAGGGTAGCCCTAAGCCCGCAACCCCCAACCCAGAGCACACAGCCTAAAGGCCCTGCAGGCAACTGGCTTCTTGTCTTCCCTTCTGGGTTCCCGAAGCTTCAAAGGAAAATGGGTATGGGGTTGAGGGCGGAAAGCTTAGGGTTGAAGCTGAAAGAGACCCTATGACGGAGACGCCAACAGCGACCCAGAAGACTCCGTCTACAGGTGACAGATCTTTCCGTCAATCCCAAAACCCTATAAGACGTAAGCCGCTATTCCCTAGACCGTGTTTTTGCTTGTTCAGCCCTATTACACCCTGTAAAATCCCTGTCAAGCCCCCTCTTTCACTACACCCTGGTAAAGACTCAGGCCCGTATTTAGCCCCATGTCATCCTAAAGTGCCCTGAACTCCCTACCCCCCCTAACCTCACCTAACCCCACCTAACCCCCCCTAACCCCCTACAGCAACCCTCCCTGACCCCCTAACACCCCAAACTCACGAGGCCTGGAGAACTGGCAGCTGGGTTTAATCTCCGTCGGCCCAGGGGACCCGCCCTCAGGAGGTTTGGGGGCGAAGGGGTGGGGGGGTGGGGTGGTGGGGGGTGGGGGGGGGGGGTAGGGGCTCTAGGGTGTAGGGTTTGGGGTTGAGGGATGTAGGAAGTTTGGAGTGTTTAAGATTTTGAGGGTTCGGGCTTAGGGATTTACTTCTACGGATTTAGGGTTTCGGAAATTACGGAGAGGGTTTTGGAAGGAGGGGCTCCCTTATGTGATGAGAGCATTGCTGAGGTTTTGGACTTCGGCAATGTTTATGTGAAGTCCACCGTGGTGAAGTCCTTCTCGGTCTTCAATGACCTGCCGCAGGCATGACTCTTCTCAAATGGTATAGGTGCTTCGCTCTCCAAGGCTTGTTCCACGTGTTTTGACTTTTTTTCAGAACGTCGCGCGAGTGGATAGGACAGTTGCGACGGCGTGGCGAAATGTGCTTCTGTCATGCAAGCATGAGTACATTGATGCTTGCTGTTTGATTTGCTTGTTCGAGGGTCTGACAGGTATCTTCTCAACATACTGAAGCAACCCTCCTTACCTGAAGAGTGAAGACTAGTTCCGTCCTTGTACTTCATCGCAGCCTGCCCAGAGGCAATCCTGGTCGCCATGCAGTACGATGCTGAAGAGCTTAGCCGGTCCACGCCGACATCACAGGCTTGATGCGATGGCAGCAAAACAGCAGCTATGGCAGACCCCAACATCGGGGGTCATATATACCCTATCCTACTATAACTCATAACTCCTACTGAGAACCCTAAAACCCTTTTAGGGATCATGGGTCTGCTTCGCACCCTCGCAGGTCGTCCCCTCGGCCCATGCAGCCGGCTTCGACGTGTCGGTGTGCTCCGCTGTGCCCCAGACCTTCCAGCGGCAGGCCCCCCCCGCGCTTGTGGCCCGCTCTTGCATGTGCCAAGCCGGGAAAATCCCTTGGGATGTTCCGCAATTTACTGTCAGTCCTTAAATAGGGGTTATAATAGGGGGTATTATAATCCCTTTTTTGAGAGCTGTTAGTAAAAAGGCCGTTCCATTTCCCATGATGTATTCATCCTGCGGAAGTTCGACTCGCCTTCGCGTGCGGCAGGTGGTGTACACCATCAACGGCATCCACCCCTACAAGCTGCTGATCAAGGCACACTGGCCCCCCCCCCCCCCCCAAAAAAAAAAAACGAAAGAAAGAAATACAAAAACAAAGAACACAAGCAATAACATTAAGAAGAAGAACATCTGAGACATCCAGAAGCCCCCGGAGACACTCAGCTGCTGAACCGGGCTTTTGCCAGAACACAACGTGGGATCGCAGCCCTTGCCAAGGCAACCATCACTCCCGTCCAGATCAGAATGTCCAGGGCAGACATCAACTTTCGCTTCGGTGAGGAGAGGGAGTGAGAGGGTTTCCGAAAGGAAGCCTTCTGCCACGCTTTTCTCACAATGCCCTTCCCCAATATGTTAAAAGCCGTCCCCTTAAGACTGAGTATGGCATTCATGGGCATTGCAGTCTAGCATCTGTCATTGCGTGCGTAAGTAGCTGCTTTCTGCACTGCGGACTTGCTGAGTGGAGGACAGTTTGGATAAGACTCTGACGGAGAAGCCGCTTTGCTGCGTTGGCGCAGCGACGTCACAGGGCCTTGCTGAAGTCAACGATTGTGCCAAGGCTTGTGCTCGACAATCCAGGCAACGCTCCTGCCAAATTCAGTTCCGCAGCTGCACAGCAGGCGTTCTCACCACTGTTTTGCCCGAATTTGGGGGTGTTATGGGGTGTTGCGGGGAGAGGGAGGATACTGCGGTTGCGCAGCTGTCGAGTCGAGGCAGGGGGAGGGGGGGACAGAACATGAGAAGAATAGTAGCAATAACACAAAATCGGAGAATAGTCGCTGGTCCCCCGTGCTTGCAACAGACACGAGAGTGATGAGAAAGATGAAGAGTCCACTTTGCAACCAAGGCTGGCAGGGAGCGAATGCATCCTTCTCTGTCTCTCCGGTAAGTGGCGTCATCCCACGCGGCGGCTCCCAGGGAATCGAGGCACCGGCCCCAGCGCTGACGCCATTTCCACCCCCAAGAATATTCCCCGCTTGCGCACGAAGCTGAGGGCTGAGGGTGAGAGCACTGAAGGTCACCTTCACCCCACCCAACAGCGGGCAGCTGATGGAGGGCTTCCTGACATTGAAGGCCGCGCTTCGAACCCGGAAGAGGAACCCGGAATGGGATCCGAAACCCTGAGATCTCATCCAATTCATCCCCTCCGAGAACTGAAGAAATCCGGAGGGGGCGAGCTGGATGGGGGCCCGGAGATGGTAATATCGCGTGCTCGAAGCGTTAGAGATGGTGATTCAGCGCGGACCTTGCTGCCGATAGCTCCCGGGCTAGAGATCTAGCGGCGACAGCATCATAAGAGCCACGTGAGCCCGTGCAACCCCAAACCCTAAACGCTGAACCCTAAACCCTACATCCAAAAACCCTAAACCCCAAACCCTAAGCCCCAAACCCTGAACCCTAAACCCTACATCCCAACACTCTAAACCGGACGAAAGGTGGAGGACGGCAATGACCACAGCCTTCGGTGTGTGGGCCAGGCACCCGAGGCCACGCTGAACTTCGGAGTGAAGAGGCCGGTTGCCCAGGTTTAGGGTTTAGGGTTTAGGGTTTGGGGTTTGGGGTTTGGGGCGTAGGGTTTAGGGTTTGAAAGTTTAGGGTGCGGGAAAGAGAGATGCTGCAGGACACCATTTTGGGGGGACGTTTTCAAAGCTTGTCAAAGAGATATGTGTTTGTGTGTGCGCCCGCATGCGTTCGTGGGTGTCTGTGTATGTTATTTTTCACTTGGAGTCATATTGAATGGAATCATCTTGAATGCAACAGGTTGGACTTGGGTGTTCTGGCCGTTGGTCTTCCGGCGGACCGCTCCATTCCCATCGTCAATGGCCTCCGGGTTGCAACAGAGACCTTGAGACTCCGCTGAAGTGTCGGGCCTGGGAGGTGAAAGTGAAAGCGCCTCTCCCAATCGTGTCCGAGGTGGCAAGACGGTGGCAGTCTACCACGTGGACAGCGTGCCGGATGGCGTTGGTATCTCCCCAATGCGCGGCCGGGTATCCGCGGAGGGGCGAGCCGAGCTCATTGACGTGCACGTGCTCCTCGACAGGCCTGCAATCTGCCACGAAATCCCGTAGAATGCCAAAAGCTGCCACAAAGCTGCAATGGACTCTTTTGTTGTTGGAGTGAGAGAGGCCGATGCAACTGGAGAGCGCTGTGACGCTCAACGTGCGAGGAGGCATCCTTTGAAGCATGGTAGCTCCCCACCTTCGCAAGGGTACCCTCAAATAGGGTTTAGCATTTAGGGTTTAGGGTTTAGGGTTGCCCAAACATGTGTTGGGAGGCAAGCCCATCCGACTGCCCATCATGGCCACGGCCGTGAACCCCAACATCGAGTTCATTGAGGAGCGCTGAATCTCGGGTCTGTGCGGGTTGCTGCCATTGCTCTCCCGCGTTGCTACCACGCCTCATTGTCCCAACTCAGGGTCTCTGTCTGGCGCATGGTAGGACGAGATTGAGTTCGGGCAGCTCACACTCGGAGCCCTAGGCCAGCTGAATTCACCAATATACATCACATAATAAAATTTATATAGTACATATATATATATGTATGTATGTATGTATGTATGTATGTATGTATGTATGTATGTATGTATGTATGTATGTATGTATGTATGTATGTATGTATATATATATACTATATATACTATATATACTATATATACTATATATACTATATATACTATATATACTATATATACTATATATACTATATATACTATATATACTATATATAGTATATATACTATATATACTATATATACTATATATACTATATATACTATATATACTATATATACTATATATACTATATATACTATATATACTATATATACTATATATACTATATATACTATATATACTATATATACTATATATACTATATATACTATATATACAAGATATACTATATATACTATATATACTATATTACATATTTTTACAATATCACACCTCCGCTCTGTAGGGTGGTGCAGTCCTGATCCTGAGTGAGGCATGGTACCGATCTCCCTCAAGAACTCCTCTGCCGTGGAAGGGACGCTGTATGCCTCTCCCTCAGTCGCAGATCCACCAAGAAAATCCGCAAGACTCGGTTCCCGGAGTCGGTTTCTTGCGCATGTCGAAGGTGAACCTGCAGCCCTACCCTGAGTTCAGCCTGTCGCTCTGCGAAGAGCGGCCGGAGGCAGGTCCTTCCGAGACATCTAGGAATCTAGGATTGTTAAGATAGAAATGGTCCTTTTCTGGCACCTGTGCTGTAAGCATACCGCGTGCGAGGCTTATGATGCCGACTACGACGCGACAGCCCTTCAGCCCATCTCACTTCAACAGTGCACCACTCGGCATCTGACGAGCCCGACAGTCTGACAGTCTGCCTCTGACGGTTTGTTTGAGTCGAAACGAAGCTTGGCTGAAGTAGATATTTTGCTTGGTGGCTCAGGTATCAGCTGGCAATCGGTGGTGTAACGGACAACCAAGCAGCTCCGTCGAACGCGATGACTGCCAAGCCCACGTTGATGGGGAGCCCTCAGGGAGCGACGCAGATGGTGCCTGGGCTCGGAGAACCCGGAACCCCCCACCCTAGCCCAACAGCCCCCCCAAACCTAAAAAACCCCGAAGCCCTTACTTAAACCCAGATCAGGCCCCTAAACCCTAAACCCTAAACCCTAAACCCTAAACCCTAAACCCTAAACCCTAAACCCTAAACCCTAAACCCTAAACCCTAAACCCTAAACCCTAAACTCTGAACTCTGAACCTTGAACCTTGAACCCTAAACCCCAAGCCTGACGATCGCAGCGCCGAGGGGCCTCCGCAGGAGGACGAGGACGAGGAAGCCAACTCGCAGGTCTACAAGATCACGGCGCCGCCCCAAGCGAAGAGTGGCAGCCAAGGGGGGGAATCTTTTACATCGGCTTTGTAGGGTTTCAAGGGGTTTTGTAGGGCTCAAACAGAAAGCTTAGAGGGCTTTCAGGATTTCTTCAAGTTTTAGGGGCATTGCAAGGCTTCGGGGTTCTCGGCCAGACGAACCAAGCCGCGAAAACCCCTGCAGCCCAGTCCAAAGACAGACAAAGACCTTTGCCGACTGTGACCACAGCTCATACTTGCAGCCTCAACCAATGGCTGTGGAAAAACTCTATTCATGCGAGTAAGTAGTGGTATTGTAGATCTTCCTGTGCCTCCACATGTTGCAGCTGTGACGTTGATCAGCAAGATGCGCGACGAAACTCTACATCGATGGGATGGTTAGCTGTAGCATATCGGTTCAGAGCCCGAGACTGGGTCTCCAAACAAGCAAGATAGCAAAGTGCTAGAGGCAGAACTTGTTTCCACAGCCTCTGACTAGCGACCGCCTTTTGAAAGGCAAGGCTATAGCCGTTGCTCGCCAGGCTTCTGCAAGCGATGGTGCTGGGAGACATAACGCTTTTGGGCTCTTGCGCCGTTCCTGCTATGAAGGGCATGGCAACTGCCAGCAGTGTGGTGCCGGCTGCAACGGCTGCCTCGCCTGCAGCGCTCCAGTTGGAGCTTTTCTTGTGGGTGCCTGGTGTGCTGTCTGCGCAGTCGCTAGCCTGCTGGACCCGATTTCAGTTGCAGCGGTGGCCGTAGGAACGTCTGCTGCCGATGCTACCGCCATCCTTGCAGGGACCACTGGTGGTGAGCCCGAGCGTCTTCACCGACCAGTTCGTAAGCGTCGCAGTGTCAACAAGAAAGATGTTTGTGGCGTAGATCGACGCTTAAGATTGGGTAGACACATAGCTCGGCATAGCTTGGCTCTGTGCTGGTTTATCGAGTGTCAACTTCTGCAAAGTTGTTTACGTCGTTTGTCTTATGTGCGGCAGTGTTTTGGAGCTGCCAAGGGACAAGACCAGGCTAAAACAACAAGCATCGCCGCAGCTATCTCCACCGCCAGCCCTTTCGTCGTTGATTCTCAGTCCAGTCCTCAATTTTCGAGGAGCACGTCACGCCTTCGCTCAGCGCAAGCTCGAAGCAATCTTGCGCAAACTTCGGACAGCTGAACACATCGAAGGCACTTGCAAGGACAACAAAACCCCATGCGAGTCCAGCACAAAACTATACAAAGAGAACAGCGCGAGTGAACCCTTTTGGGGTCCAGCGCAAGGCATCCCCAGAACGAAGACAACATATAGACAAAAAGCAGGCGCATGAAAAGCCAGCTGAAAGCCCAACTCATAGCCCCCAGGTGGCTTGATGCGCGAGAAAAGCGCATCAAGCTGAAGTAAACACTTGGTTCGTTTTGCAATGTCTGCGCCTTGTCAGCGGCCGCTTCCATGATTGTACTCGTAGTACAGCTGCTGACCCTTAGTGCCAGGCAGTAATCTGTGCAACAGGTGATCATTCGAGGCACGCAAAACAGCTTTTTGCAGCGCCTGAGCGCCTGAGCATCTTACAACGCGCGGCGCGGGCTGTTTGTTTTCTTCATGCACTTCACCCGGAAGTATGGCGCCGGGACGTCAAGACCACAAACTTTTTGGTCTTTACACGTCTGGCTTCACCACAGCTACAGGTAAACTTTGCGACCTTGTAAATGTTCTTCGAGCGGCAGAAGAGTCTGTCTACGAACGAGTGGTGCTGCGGGGCCAAGTGCCCAGCAAGTTTATGAATTCCTAGAGAGCTTCTGTTCAAACATCTTCGCAGCTGCCATCCTTAAAAGCTGGAGCTGATTCAATTGCAGGCAGTGCAGTGGTGCCTTGACCTGAGAGGAAACGCAGTCCTTTCGAAACGAACGGTGGATGCGGAATTGCTGATTGCTAACGGTCTTGATGGCAACACGGGCAATGTTAGCGATATTCGTATTATTGGCAACTGGACACATCACCCCAGACGTTTGTGCGCTACAGACCACCCGCGACTTTGTTGTTGCTTCCGCTTCGCTTGGAGACCACATTTGCCGTCGCTGGCTGCCGGAGGCCACGAGGTTGTCCCCAGCGCCCGCCGCTGACTCTTGTCATTGGGCTCCCACTTTGCGCCAGTTTGTCAGCGCTTCAACGGGAGGGCTCGTTCTTCTCTGCCTTCACGGATACGCCTTTCAGACCTGCAAGCTCCCAGCTAAGTGCTGCCTACTACGGCAGGCAACACCTCCTTGACTCCCTCCTTGTTGCCGCTCAGCTTTGGGCACGGGGCTTGCAATTCCTCCTTCTGCTGCCTGCATTGAGAACCTGGGGGAGGACGCTGTTGCAGTGCGAAGGTCCTTACGAGCACACTTCCCGGTCCGCGTGGACCGTTTCGAGCGTCTCCGACTGGGGTCCCCTTAGGTCCCTTCTTTCCTTGCTTCACCTTAGTTAAGTGCAGCCAGGGGCCGCGTCCTGACGAGGCCCCGAAAAGCAGAAAAATGTTGGCAACAAAAGAAGAAATGGGTTGTAGAATTGGTTGAATAATAGCAGCGCGGAAAATAGTACCAATATTTTACGTAAGAATAGTACTGGTAGCAGCAATAACAAGAAAGCACCAGTGCTGAGCGTGAAGGACCCTCATCGCTGAGGTATATGTTCATAATGCCGAACCCGAAGGGCTTAGGGTTTAGGGGGTTGGGTTCAGCGGCATTCGCTTTCAGCGCTGTTCCTGAGCCAGGTGCAGCCGAACTACACCCTACACATGCAGCTCACATACAAGCCCACAGACCTCGGCATCTTGGCAGAAGAGCATCTGATGTTCTGACACCCACAAGCGCTGCACAGCCTTTCATGTCTAGGATCCATTGCGCAGGCCAGCACTTCTTCGAGTTCCCTGTGATGGCGGCCGGGGGAGGCAAGAGTGAAGGCCTTCGCAAGGCCGGCGACCCCCCCCCCCCCCTTACCCTCATTCTAGGAAACCCCCCCCCAAGACAAGCGCCTTTGCTTCGGACCCCCATGAAATCTGTTGAGAGCACCTCTTGCACTCACTAGGCTCGGAGAGAGCGAGGGAGACATGCCAGACTTTCTAAACCCTAAAGTAAGTCCTGAACAGAAACCCCAGTCCCAAAAACCCCTAAACCTCAAAAACCCTGACCCCTGAAATGGCCCAAACCCTAACAGCCCCTGCACCCTAAAGTCTTGAACCCCAAACCCCCCAAGCCCGGGCAGGTGGTCCACGCTGAAGCCTTGCGGCCGCGCATGCTCTTCAGCGCGACAGACCTGAACTTCAAGACCAAGGCATGGATGTTTCGGGGTTTAGTTTTTTGGTTTTGGGTTTGGTTTGTTGTTAGAGCATGGAGCCTCATCTTTTGGGGATTCATTCAGCTTTGATTCTGACGTTGTTTTTTTTTGGGTCTTTTTTCAATAAAACCCTTATTCTGCACCTCCCCCTCCTCCCCCTTCCCCCCTCCCCCCCCTCCCCTGCGAGGTGGTGGCGTCAGGCATCCAGTCGGTTGCGTCCGTGCTGGAACTGGCTCTTCACAACGCAGGCTTCGCGCTGTCAGTCCCCATGGAACCAGTCATGCATGTGGGCGTTATCCGCAAACCCTTGTCTTCTTTTTTTAATGGCGAATATTTTATACAGATTTCTGCTTGTTTTTTAGTATCCGCGAAAGGCCCGCGAAAGCGCGGCGGAAGGCGCCGCGAAAGGGATAATCTGGTTGATAAAATATCATGCCCCTTAACCCTCAAACCCCAAACAAGTGCGTTTAGGGACCGCCCCTAAACGCACCCGTGGTGCAGGTTTCAGCCTATTTGTGGTTCATACTGATAGAATATCCTGCCCGAATGCGAGTGCGTTTAGGGACCGCGCCTAAACGCACCCATAGTGCAGGTTTCAGCCCTCATATTGATAGAATATCCTGCCCCTTAACCCTCAAGACCCATTGCGAGTGCGTTTAGGGACCGCACCTAAACGCACCCATGGTGCAGGTTTCAGCCTATTTGGGGTTCATACTGATAGAATATCCTGTCTCTTAAGCCGCAAACCCCAATGCGAGTGCGTTTAGGGACCGCCTCTAAACACACCCATAGTGCAGGTTTCAGCCTATTTGGGGCTCATATTGATAGAACATCCTGCCCCTTAACCCTCAAGCCCCAATGCGAGTGCGTTTAGGGACCGCGCCTAAACGCACCCATTGTGCAGGTTTCAGCCTATTTGGGGTTCATACTGATAGAATAATTATCCTGTCCCTTAAGCCTCAAACCCCAATGCGAGTGACCGCACCTAAACGCACCCATTGTGCAGGTTTCAGCCTATTTGGGGTTCATACTGATAGAATATCCTGTCTCTTAAGCCGCAAACCCCAATGCGAGTGCGTTTAGGGACCGCCTCTAAACGCACCCATAGTGCAGGCTTCAGCCTATTTGGTAGAACATTCTGCCCCTTAACCCTCAAGCCCCAATGCGAGTGCGTTTAGGGACCGCGCCTAAACGCACCCATTGTGCAGGTTTCAGCCTATTTGGGGTTCATACTGATAGAATATCCTGTCCCTTAAGCCTCAAACCCCAATGCGAGTGCGTTTAGGGACCGCCTCTAAACGCACCCATTGTGCAGGTTTCAGCCTATTTGGGGTTCATACTGATAGAGTATCCTGCCCCTTAACCCTCAAGCCCGAATGCGAGTGCGTTTAGGGATTGCCCCGAAACGCACCCATAGTGCAGGTCTCAGCCTATTTGGGCTTCACACATACTTTGTTTTGCTCCCCGACGAATGCATTTCAAACGCACCCATATGGGGCTTAGGGGATTTTATGCCTGATGCTTGAAAGCATTCGGGGATCAGGGGCAAAGTGCGTTTTGGAAGGCTTCAAAAATGCACGCTGATCCCTGTCGAGTGCAAAAACGCAGGCTTGGATGGTTGATGGCACGTGCTGGAGAGCAAGATCTCCGCGACTGACCGCGAAAGTGCTCCCTGATTTCACGCTGTTTCTGAGAGGAAGCGCACGCTGAAAATGGCGAAAGGCACGCGAAAGGTCCGCGAAAGGGACGCGATTGGGCGACAGGTCCTGGAAAGGTATTGGCCAGCTGTGCTTCCAACTTCCATAAAATCTGGCTGATAGAATATCATGCCGATTAGCCCTCAAACCCGAAACGAGTGCGTTTAGGGACCGCGTGCAAACGCACCCATGGTGCAGGTTTCAGCCTATTTGGGGTTCGTACTGATGGACTCTCATGCCCGTGCAAACGCACCCGTGGTGCAGGTTTCAGCTTATTTGGGGTTCGTACTAATGGACTCTCATGCCCCCGCACACCTCAAACCCAAGTGAGTGAGTTAAAACTGCACTATGGGTGCGTTTAGGGGCGGTCCCTAAACGCAGTCGCATTGGGGTTTGAAGTGTTCAGGGGCATGAGAGTCCATAAGTACGAACCATGAATAGGCTGAAACCTGCACTATGGGTGCGTTTAGGGGCGGTCCCTAAACGCACTCGCATTGGGGTTTGAGGGTTAAGGGGCAGGATATTCTATCAGTATGAACCCCAAATAGGCTGAAACCTGCACAATGGGTGCGTTTAGGCGCGGTCCCTAAACGCACTCGCATTGGGGTTTGAGGCTTAAGGGACAGGATATTCTATCAGTATGAGCCCCAAATAGGCTGAATCCTGCACTATGGGTGCCTTTAGGGGCGGACTGCTTTCAGCACATTGATTCCCCTTCTTGGGATGAGAGAGCAAAGTGCGTTTCGAGGGTCCTGGAAAACGCACGCTGGAGCTTGTATTTGGTTTTGTCGACCACTTGTCCACAAGCATTGAAACCAGCACATTGATTCCCCTTCCTGGGATGAGAGGGCAAAGTGCGTTTTGGGGGGCTTGGAAAACGCACCCAGCTTCCCTGCTGTATGTACTTGGTTATGTCGACTATATCATCGACGAAAACTTTATGATAGTTTTACGTCTCCGCGAAAGGGCGCGAAAGGTCCGCGAAAGGCGCGGCGCTTGGTGCTTTCCTGGGAACAAGAAAATCAGACAACCCCCATGTGACTTCGGACCATCTTCGACCAGCATAATGAGGGAAAGACAGCTTTCTCGACGAGTAGGTAATCGATGCAGTCCTAGAGGTCCTTCCCAAACTGCCTCTTAACAGATGACTTCCCCATCGAGTGGCGCATCGACACCGAGCCCCTCAAAAAGTTCATGGGTGCTCGGGGGCCCAAGAGGTGGAAGATGGTGGATGTGGGAGGCTGAAAGGGCCGCTAGCTGCGGAAGGATTGCTGCTCAGCCCAGGTCTTCACAGTCGACCCGGCTGGTGGCATCCTGCACCCTGCGCAGGAGGGTCTCTGCAGGTTGTGGCTAGGAGGCCTGCTCTGAGCTGAGAGGACTGCTTGGTTCGCGCGGCCTTCATGCCCAATGAGCCCGTGGAGTACAAGGCGCCCAGCGTAGCGGCAAGTGTTAGGGCATGGCAAAAATGCCCCGGCAGTCCCTCCCCTCACGGAGCCCCAAATGCAGGCCAACATGAACGTGTACATCTCGCCACCTCGAGATGCGGGCATCATGCAAGCAATTAGGACTCGCGGCAGACTTTCCACAGGGACAAGGGGTGAACAGATCACGAATCACGAAGCAGAATGGAGTCCAAGTTCTTTTTGTCAAGGCAAAGCCGGCGATGCCAGCATGGCCTTGCCCGCGGATGAGAGCACCCAAGCTGAACCGGACAGACTTTCCGAGCTGTTTGGGGCATCTCCACCAAGCTACCATAGGAGACTGGTGAGCAAGCACGAACGCCCGGTATCATTCGTGCCTGGGCTGAGGCAAGCCGTACCTCTCCCTGCGGATGAAGGGTCAGGGCACTGTACCCAAGCTCACGTTCGACAGGCGCGAGATCGTACTGCCGAATCTCGGCCATCTGTTGCAGACTTTCTGGCCTAAGCCTAAATGCTAAGCCCGAAGCCATCCTAAGCCCCAGCCTTAAAGTATAAAGCTTAAACCGATGGACCCTATAAAGCCTAAAACCCAAAGCCGGCCCAAAACCTGGCACCTGCAGCTGCTGAGGACAGTTCCGCTTGGCATCAAGTCTCGGCCTGAACCTCGGGCCACAGGTTTACCATCACGAGACCCCCGGTCTTCCGGACTTCCTCCCCGAAATTCCGCCGATTTTCTTCCTCTTATGATCATTGTTAGTCTGAATGTTATGTCCCATTGCTTGAATTAGTCACTATTAAGTATCACTACCTTATTACTTCATGTGATTTAACAATGTACGTATTAGTCTTCTTACGAGTTTTTGATTTATAATTAGTCTTTTTAATGATGCATATCGATTGTTAATGGTTACCAATGGTTAGCCATGATCTTTACTTACTACTCATCATCATTCATGGTTTATGGTGGTTATGAATGATAAATCTCTGGATGATTCTTAGTGAGTTTTGCTGACTACTCATGTTCATTAGTGATGCTCAATGTGTTTACAGAGCCACCATAACGGAATTGAATGACCAGTAAGGAATTTTGGATCTTAAATCCGGAGACCCTGAGCTTCCCCAAGAGACGACAGTGCCAAATGCACTTTTCTGTGCGTTGATGGGATTCAGGCCTCGGATGAGCTTAACCTTTGAAAATCGCATAAAATAGCCTGATGATCTGCTTTTGAGTGGCGCCGCGTGTGGCTCAGATGCCTGTTCTACATCGTGAATGAGGGCTACGAGAGCTTGGACGTCAAGTATCGGTGACCCAGCTGCAGTTATGTCACATGCCCGAAGCTTTGTCTTTGAGATTCTCTTCCAAACTCCTGGTATACCCTTGTAGCTCTTGGCGAAGATGATGGAAGAAGGGCCCTCCAGAGCTTGTGGTGTGCAAGGCTGCCTAACGATCAGATCCGCATCCCGCTGACCATCAACTTCCCGGAGGCCTGGGCGCGGTTGCCAACCAACCCGAAACCCAGAAGCATGTGCTCAGCTGAGCAGCTCTGTGTTGTCTTCAAGCGGTTGTGTTCAGCTTAAGCAAAGCTGGGTGAAGGCAAGAGTACAGTCAGGCAGTCAGTCTGTCGATCAGTGAGTCTCTCAATCAGTGAGTCAGGCCGTGCGAGTGTGCGAGTGTGTGAGTGCGAGTGTGTGTGTGTGTGTGTGTGTGTGTGTGTGTGTGTGTGTGTGTGTGTGTGTGTGTGTTTGTGTGCGCATGTGTGGCCGAATATCCTTGCTCATGTTGCACAGGGGCAGCAGATTGGAATCACCAAGCCAAAGATCCCAGTCCCTTGGCTATCGGGCCGCTTGCAACGGGGGTCCGTGGAGTCGGGTAGAGACTCGAACTTGTTTAGCTCCCGCTGCCCGCAGAGTGACACCGCAAGCTAGATCCCGAGAAACGCGTGGAAGAAAGGTGGAGATCTTCTTCCAGTCCAACAAGCCCATCTCCTTCTGTGCCAAGAGCCATGGCTTCCACATTTGGGCTCAGCTGGAGTCATCGAGGGTTCTATCTTCCTCTTGAAGATGGTTTTGACCCGAGGATCGAGTTCTTGGACAACGAGTCAGGCCATGACCCCAGACATCGTATGGGTTTAGGGTTTAGGGTTTAGGGTTTAGGGTTTAGGGTTTAGGGTTTAGGGCGACCAGCCTAGCTCTTCTGATGCCCTGCCTACAGGCTCCTATGTGTTGCCGGTGTCTGGGACCACAGAGAACTGCATTTTGACATGTGGCACCCTCAGTGCGCCGCAATTCTTATGTGGGGGTTTCCGATTATAAAGGGATCCTACTATTTGGGGGTCTATAGTTGGGGGTCCCCTATTTTCGCAAGCCCCCCCATGTGTGGCAAAGGAGCATGAGCCTGGCAAGGTCACCATTACTTGCATAACAACACGGACTTCTACACCCTCGAAGGAGAGCCCGTGGCGGGCCCAGACACTCGTTGTTCCCTAGGCTGCATAAACCTTAAAGCCTAAAACGCCTTAAGCCCTGAACCCTGAACCAGGTGTTGGGGAGTGTTGCTGTTGCCAGGGCTGTCTGAGTTTACAGGGGAGGATAGGAACCCGGAGGCTTGAGGTTCGGGTTTAGGGTACTAAACATGTGGACTCCTCTTCTGTAGTCGTATCTTTCCCGTATGTGGTCGTCGTTGCCATTTACTGTGTCTAAGGATAATTCAACATAAGGAAGGATTTTACCACACCCGTAATTTCGGTTAAGGGTAAGCCCAAGGGAGCATGTTGAATATTTCTTGGACTGTTGCGTCCAAGCCACGCCCCGGTGTCCACGTCGATACGTGGGCATCCTTGAACACTCTCCTTAGCCACAGAGCCTTGCACGATGTGCTTGTACATCCCAGCTCATGCTTGGAGTACCTTGGAGCCCCGACCTACCTTCAGGTCATGCTGCAGGAGAAGGAGGACGCTGCTCAGTGAGCCATGCCATGGTCACTGGTGTATCATTGGCATCTCAGTGGCTCGTAAATTATAAGGCCGAGCCGGAGCAGCGCAGGACAACTCCAACGGGGAGCAGGGTGCGGCGCCGTCCATCAAGACGGGGAGCGTGTCGCACCAGTCTGTGGCCGGTTACGGAAATCAGGACGCGCGCTGCTTGAGAGCTTCGTCTTTCGAAAGCATGTGTCGTGAGCTGCTGTACATCTTAACTGAGGCATTTTCCATTGCATGTGGTGGTTCATTCAGTAGCTCAGCCCCCCCACCTCCCCTCTGATTCCAGACCAAGTAGACCCCAAAAAAACCCCAAATTCAGGACATGTCCCAGGCAGACTTCTTGGTCCGATGGCTGAACGGAGACTCGGCTCTGTTAGAAGCGACAAAAACATCTGAAGCACTTGCTTTTGTTTGGCTAAATTGCTCGCTGTCCCAATGCAGCTTGCATTCCGAGTGGCGAGGCAACATTCTGAAGAACCAGCTGGACCATTTCCCACAGGCGATCGGATCTGGGCCGCGCCAGGGCATGTGATGACCTCAAACACCCAAAAAAACCCTCTGCAGGATCTGGTGAACTCCAACGGCCGTCATCTGTATGAGCTCATCGAGTCTCGAGCTCAGTCGGGTTCCAACCCCTCAGAATCCCCAAGCCCGAAACAGTGGCTCGCGTGGAACATCTCGATGACGAGTGTTGAAATTAAGTGAAGATTTTATGGCCACTTTTGGGGTCTAGGGTTTAGGTTTATTTTCCAAAATCGGGGGCCCCCTAGTGTACACAAAAGTACTGTAACGCCCTTTATGCCAACCATTAAAGAGGGTTTTCCCCTATTTTCGGAAACCTCTGGCTAACCCTGAGCCCTAAACCCTAAGCCCTAGCCCCAGACCCTAAGCCTTATATAAGCCCTAAGCCCAAGCCCTAAACCCTAAGCCCAAGCTCTTTTTCGGTTTTGATGAGTCTCATAAAGGAGACCCGAGGGTGTGGGTCCCCCTTCTTCACGAGCGCGTCTGACTACAGGGGGTGAGGCCAAGACACTTCTTTGAAGGTTCATTGGCAATGGTTGCGATGTTCCCCGTTTCCTAGCAGTCCTTGATAGGGAATTGTAGTACCCCCTACTATAATCCTTATTAAGGACTGCGAGTATAAGGGGAAACATCCCAAGGCAATGGGTAGATGGGTTTAGAATTCAGGGGTAGGGTAGATGTAAGTATGGTTTTCAACGACTAGTGTCCCAAAAGAGGACACCACAACCTACATATACCTCCCAGTTACTGGTTCAGGGTTTGGGGGATCAAAGTAGGCTTTCTAGGATTCTCCGGGGTTTCTAAGCGGCCGAACTCTCAGAGTTTTATTGAGGGCAGCGATAGCTGGGGTTATGGGTCGGCGAGCCATGCTTCTACCGCATGCTCTATAGCTATCGTAACCGGGGCGATAAGTAGTAACTAGAGAAAACCTTTTTGAGGGTGATGACCATACCCTAAACTTCTTTTCTGTGTGGGCACCAAGAGCCCTCACCGTGTGCTCAGGTTCCTGTCTGGGAAGATGGCCTGGGCCTGAGAGCATGGGTGTTGAGGGTTTAGGGTGTGCCGTACCCCCGCTCGCAACATGGCCCCTGGAAGCACTGCCACAATGATGCCTCTAGGTTTTCGTTTGCCCAGCTTCAGGGTTGTCGGATCGAGCCCATCCTTTTAGTCCTCAACCCCAACGTTTGGGGAGCGATGCATCTGCCCCTCTGTGTTGGTGAAGGGAGGGGGAAGCCTCTACTTGTGGGGCTTATATGCTGCCGTGTCCGCAGGTGCCCAACAAGGCGGCAGCACCGGCGGCGCCCCAGCGCATGGACAACACGGGCTCCTCCTTCCGTGGCAATGACCGAGGTGGACTCAGAACGCCGGTTGCCGTTTGTGGGCATTGCTGCCATGGTAACCAAATTCCTGACTCGTTAACACTGTTAACTCAACACAGTCCTAGGTAGAAAATTGGGAGTATGGAATCTACGGCTGAGGAAGAAACGAGCATGCAGCAGTTGCCAACGAATCCAGATGACAAACTGAGGGCTCCAGTCCCCGAACGAGGAAGTGACGTTGTTCAATTTCTGATTCCTTTTTGGCTACCCGAAATATGTAGCTGCGTATTGCAAGGGGAAACTCTCAGAGGGACTGTGGTTTGGAGAACTCCCCATGCACAGAGAGTTGAGCAACGATTCAAGGGGTGGAAGAAACGCCCGTGTGTACTGTGTGGTCCCATTGACCCCGAGCAGATTCTAAACCGTGCCTGCCTGCAACCCCCCCCCCCCCCCCCCAACAAAAAAAAAAAAACCCAAGAGACGCCGAGCCTACCAATCATGCTGTTCTTCGGGTAGAACAACTTTGTTGTAGATAGGAATGTTTGGACGAGAGACTGGGAGAAGGAGTTTCCTGGTCTGTGCTGATCGATTGCGGGTGGGGGGGTTTTCAGTGGGCAGCGGCAGCAACATTGAAGCTTCAGTTCCCGGCGTGTTTCCTACTATTGCCTACTCTTTCTCCCTGTCGTTCCGTCAAGGCGTGATCCTAGGGAAAGCCTCGACAAGGGCACATGACACATGCAGGTCATGATGCGACCATGTTCCTTGTGACCATGTTCCTTGTGACCCAAGGGTCTGCGAAAAACCTTGCGCAAGCCTGCGAAGCAGTCCGGCCACGCCAAACGTCGGAGCATCGCATGTCGCAATAAGGCATTGTTGCAGCTCGCGAGCATAGGGCAAGTTCCACAGTTTTGAAGCATGGCAGACGAGGAGCCAAAGGGCGGAGACAAGCTCGCAGAGCGGGAAACAGCATGGGTAACACGTGGTAACTAACACGTTACGCCAAATTTCCGCACGGACCCCCAACCGAAGCCCCAAAGATCCCACGAAGCTGTACATCCTACCAGCGCGCCCCCCAAACTTGCGAGGTGCCAAGCAGAAGAGCCGGGAGATGCAGAAGATCCTACAGTTGATGCAACAATTCGAGGCGCTTCCACGTTGTGAAGTCTAGGGAGTGCCTAGGGCTTGCTGAGTTTACTGCAAGGTGCTCCTGAACTTCTTGAAGCAGCACGGTGCCTTGCTGGCTTCAGTTCGTCGGGAGCCCTGGAGCGGGACGTACCGGTCTTGCCGCAGCGATCGCCACCTCCGACCTGCGACTGCTCTCAGGGCCAGAACATTTCTTGTCGCACGAGAACTACCTTCGCTACCAGCAGAGCCTAAACGTGGGCATCACAAGAAGGCTTGCAATGAGAGATGGCCAGTTGTTTAGAGCGACCATGTGCGGGTGACTGCTCTTGGTGCGCTTCAAAGGCAGGTGGACAAGATGTTCTTTCCAAAGAGCATGGAGGTCCAGCGCGGTTCTTGTCGCTTGTAGCCATGACAGGAACTCACCTTATCCAGTCTCCTGAGGAGAGAGAGAGAGAGAGAGAGAGAGAGAGAGAGAGAGTCAGGGGCGCGCCTTGGCGCAGGGTCCGTCCCTATGCCCCTAAGCAAAGCAAAGCAAAGAGAGAGTCAGAGCGCACCGTGAGCACCCCCTAAATTCATCTTTTGGGTCAGGCATGGATGACCTGCATCCTGCAGACCGTGAAGATTTTCCTGCTCAACCGGATCACGAGCAAGGCTCGCCCGCACTGTGGAAGTGTCGGAATTGAAGGTTGAACTGGAGTTTTTCACGAGAACGGGAAGCCTTGGGTATATGAGAGGGTGAATATGATAGGTTTTACAAAACATCTGAATGCAGGGTGCCTAAACTCACGATTGTGTTTGGGCTTGGGTTGAGGGTCTAACCCCTCGACCCGAAATTCCCCAACCCCGCCAGGCCTTCAAAACTTTGCCTGGCATGACGGCAGAGATGGACCACCCTGTGGGGGCAGCTGTCGGGCCCCCTGTGGATCTCTCTTTTGGCGGTTTCCGGGATCTGCGCGCCCCCAAAAAGCCCTAACATCCACAAAGCCCGACTCCCTCCCTCAATTCCTGCGGGGTGCGAGGTGGGTGCGGAGGATCTGACGTCCGAGCAGCCGGAGAAGAAGTCATCTTGCCCAGAGCTGCAGAGTTTCTCGGCTGAGTTGGCAGCTGCTGTAGTCACGGCCGCAGAAGCTGATCGTTATGATCGTACATGTGCAACTGAACATCTACATGAAGGTTCTCGGGTAGATTTATAAGTACGCCTACTAGGATTAGAAGTATAGATGCGCTACCTGCAGCCCCAGATATAATTATCCCTGAACCTCCAAGTAAGCCTTTGTTGCACAGCCTGCTTGGGTGTCGATGCGCTTTTTAAGGCACGGGAGTGTGTTCTGCGCGTGCGTTCGGGTTAGAGTTTCGTGCTTCAGGTGCGTTGGACACGAAGTTCCTGGCAGACTCCAATGTGTACAGCAGCTGGGACTGTGCAGAGGGTTTCACATGCTTCCCCTGTGCATGTCCTCCGCGAAACAGCGAGTCCCCACAACGCAAGCGAAGCCAACCCTCTTTCCGAATACGTGGTTGGCTTTTTGTCACGCACTGTATGGAGAACCAAATTTTTACACGACCCGCCTCAAAGAGACCATGGTGAAAAAAACTTTCTATGCCTTAGTGAACATCGACCACAGAAACACAGGCCATCAACAGTTGAGAGCATTGATGGCGGTGAAGCAGGAGCATAGCAGAAATGATAAGACATCAAGCAGTTATCACATTAACGACCGAGACGAACCGGTTTAATGTAGAATATGTAGAATGATAGACAGTGTAGATGACAGACACCGAAAACGACGAATGCACGATGATATACAACAAAAGCAAGGTTGCAGAACTAAAATGCCAAAGCAAGCAATGTTCCCCCAAAGGGACCACAATTCCAGCCGTTTCCCCAGACGCCCAAAACCCCAAAACCCTACATCCAGAAAGGAGAAAGGGGAATGGAGAAGTTTGAAGCATACTGGCTCATGGGCTCCCAGCGCATGGAGGCCTCTCTTTTCTTCTGCACCTGAGACCCGAAACCCAAGCTCCACCTTCTGAGCCCTAAACCCCACACCCGGACTCGTATTTCAAGAGCAAGGCATGGCAGAGTGCATCCTCCTGCGCTGGCTGAACTTCCACTTCTGGTGACCTGGTCGGCAGTAAGGCGTCTCCATCATGTTCCTTCGATGGGTGGCCGATTTGCAACAGTGCCACGGTGTAGCGTAGCTGCGTCGCCCAAAGCCCTGAACCCGAAGCATGCTTTGCAGCCTGAGGCGCGCCAACAAGGGCAGGTATCCGTTCCGGAAGGCACCAACGCTTTTTTTGTTTGGGGGAGGATTTTTCTGTACATATTTACGGGCATGCATATGTATATATATATATAGATATGTATGTATGTATATGTGTATGTGTATGTGTATGTGTATGTGTATGTATATGTGTATGTATATGTAAATGTATATATATATATATGTATATATACACGTATATATGCTGCCCCTGAAGAGTTTTGAGGTCGCGAACCTGCGCCATGCCTTGCAGGTCTGCTGCTTCGACGCCGACCTCGAAGACTCCGTCGTTTTGGCTGTGGTGATCCAGTCGCACGTGCCGCATTGCCAGGCTTCGGCACCATAATAACATTAATAATATTCACAATAATAACAGTAATCATAGTACTTATATTAGTTATATTTATATTAATAATAATAATGATAATAATACTAATACTAATAATGATATTCATACGGTTATTAATATGAACGGTATTAAGGGAGCAAGCAGTGTGCCACAGCAAAGGTGCTGAATGCTGTTTTGACAGGCCGTGCAGAATATGCGAGCTCAATGTACCAGCTTGGATCACCACGAGGAGAATGCAGTCAGCCTTGGATTTATGTGGACCTAACTCTATGAAGGCCTTTGAACATCTGAAGAGCAGTCCGGGCGGGGCCGAGGCAATGCACATCATTGCTGCCCTGTCTGAGATTGGGCTGGCGTTCCCCATCCAGGTGGACAGCAGTGTGTCCTTGACCATGAGACAATGAAGCAATTGCAGCTGAGAACTTGGTAGTTGTAGCCTCCGTGACAGCCTGATATCGGGAGGTTTCAGACATTGCGTCTCCACAGGCCAAGGAGCTCGGCAGTGGCCTGTAGCACCTGCACATGCAGCGCTCTAAAATTATGGGGCCCTTTTCGTAGCGCAAATACAAGGCTCCGTGTTATCTTAGGAACCCCGAACAGGGGACCATAGTTTTCCACAAACGCCTACATACTATCGGTCTTGCCCTTGAAGACTGGTGTAAGCTCTCGAGGACATGCTGCTGTTTGCGATGTTCCTCTTCCAGAACTTGCCCAACTACGTTCCGAAGACCACCATCGTGTTCTCTACGATGCTGGGAGCCGCTTGACGTGCACATGGGTGGACTGCATCTGACGTGCATCATGTTGCATGTCGCCTAGGTGAACATGACCAAGAACATCGAGCTCACAAACCCTTCCAAGAAGGCCGCGATGTCTGCTCTGGAGGGCACTTCTTGGAAGACCCCATGGAGCATGCCATGAGTTCCTTTAGCTGCCCTCAAAATCTTAAGCCCCCAACAGGCTTCGCGTTCGACACCATTGTTCGGCTCGGTATTGACTCCAGGGTTCAGATTGAATTGTGGTCCTGCTGCGGCCTCCACTGTCGTCGATATGTTATTCGCTGAGGGGTTTGACGGCTTTCGAGGTTTAAGGGCTTTAAGGCTTATTAAGGGTTTAGCGGTACCGAGAAAGGGCTCAGAATTGGGATCGACTCTGCAGACTTGGGCAGGCGATCACGTACCTGGTGCAGCTTGTGGGGTCCAGCGGCAGCGACTTCGCCATAAAGGAGGACACGATCAAGCTGGAGCCTAGGCCGGCTGCGGGGATGTCAGTTTTTTAGTTTGGGGCCCCTTTTCTGCGGGGCCCATGTTTATGTTCTGGTTTTAGAGAGTTACCAAATTCTAGGGAATCCTTCTCCCCTAACGGATTTGAGGCATGCCCGTGTGCAGGCAGACCTTCTCTTATCCGGTGGAGTACTGCAGTCGCTTCTCCAGGCAAGATCACTGTTGAGCCAAGCTCGGAACAAGGCTGCCTTGTGCCTTTTTTGCCTCTTGGAAGGCTGGTGGAAGACAAGATCATGTTCACCTCCAAGCGGGAAGGCAACGTTCACGCTGCCGCCATGGTCTTCAAGTTGAGGCGGCACTTGCGGTGCTTTGCAGTGGTATCGTCGCCCGCATTCTCTTTATTCATGAACATTAGGTTATTATAGTCAAGCCCTGAGCCCGAGAAGCTCTGCGAAGTGGTGGCAGGAGCCGCTGCACCGGGCGCAAGCCGCGCAAGACCATCAACGTCTCCGCGGTGCTCTACGAGGTCGGCACCGCCCCAGCCTCGACCTGGAAGGACCGGACTCTGCAGTGTGGCCAAGCAAGTGGCTGCTGAGGTCGACGTGGACTTGGAGAACCCCTTCTCCGAGGAAGGGTCAAACCACACACTCATGTCCTGTGCTTGGAACACTGGGAACTCATCCCGTCTCGGAGGATGCTGAGTTCACTGTTGCCCTCCGGGAAAGCACAATTTGCGACGCGGAGAAGAACCCTGCGGGGAACTCAGGAAACGCATGATACATGGATAGCAGACTTGTATTAGCTCATACACAGTGTATATTGTGATTCTTTTTTGTGTGAGTGTGAGTGTGAGTGTGAGTGTGAGTGTGAGTGTGAGTGTGAGTGTGAGTGTGAGTGTGAGTGTGTGTGTGTGTGTGTGTGTGTGTGTGTGTGTGTGTGTGTGTGTGTGTCTGTGTGTTTTGTGTGAGAGATAGAGAGAGTGTGTGTGGAAGTATGGCGCGCCACTGTCGACTGAGGTTTCCTCGAAGCGATGTGAGGGCATGGAGGCCTTCTACTTGAGCGCCTCGGCCATGCAAGAAGGAGGGCCTCAGTTCCTACCGAACATTGGTGAGCCTTGATTGCGAGCCTCCGGGCTCAGCTTCACCGCCTGACACGCCATGCAATGAATCCTTGCCTCGGTGCAAGGCCCAAGCATTGCCTTGAAGCCTTTCATATTCCGGCCGTTCGCATTCCCTAAACTTAACCCGTAAACCCTGACTCCAAGCGCTGCGCGACCGTATCAGCCCGGCTGCCCGAAAATCTGGAAAGCCTGATATGATAGAGGCCTAGCACCAACCCAATGTGCGATGGGGTGAGTTTCCCAGCACCAAAGAACAGAATCTAGCACCTGACCGGTAAAGTGCAACGTTCCGCACTATGTTCTGTCCGTTTTCAGCGCATCGGAGGCTCCACCCGCTGCCGAGTCAAAGCCGGGTCCACTGGCAAGCTGACGATCTCCTTCTTACCCTTCGAGGTGCGCAGGAAGTGCGCTGCGTCGAAAATGTTTTTTTTGGTTGCCTAGTTTTAGTCATTGGCATGTGTGAAAGGTAATGTTTTGTGCATCTTTGTGTGTGTACATATATATTATTATATGTCTCTTTCTCTCTCTCTCTCTGTTTGCCTGTTCGAGGGAATGTGTCATAATGTGTCTTGCAGTGTGTGCCTCTGGCTTTGAAGGCGCCCGCACACTTCACAGCCCTGCTGGGAGTGTTCGACTCGAAGGCTGCGCAGGGTTCCTTACACCGGTGGGTCGTGGCAAGGGTTTCGGGTTTAGGGTTTCGGGTTTAGGGTTTAGGGTTGAGGGTTGAGGGTTGAGGGTTTAGGGTACACGTAGGTGCTTGTACAATGCCCACGACAAAAAGGCTGGAGAGTACTACTATGAGCTGATGGGAACCTCGTCTCCACCTTTGCCGCTGGAAACCTACAAAATGCAAGTCAAGGCGGAAGCCTCGGGCACCAAGGACGCTGCTTTAAGCTGCCCCCTCGCAGCTTTGGGAAAGTTCTTGGAACGTTGTGGCGCGCTTGCCCCCCCAAAAATCAAGAGCGGCTTATTGTCTGGGGGGATCCAGGCGCCTTCTGTAAAGTCCTCCAGCTGCCTATGCTCATGGTTTAGGGTTTAGGGTTTAGGGTTTAGGGTTTAGGTTTAGTTGGGGGAGGCAGCACCATATCGCAAGTGCAGGACATCATCCTGCCGCTCCGCAACATGCAAGTCGAGCGGGCGCGCACCTGGCTGCAGAACCGCGGCGCCGGACCCCCGAACCCTCCGGACTACATCACCTACGAGCCTCGGAGAATAGTTGGGTGATGTGCGCTTGTCACGTGCACGTGTCATCCGATATCATCCGATTTATCAGCCTTCCCGTAGCCCTACGAGCCTTATGGATGTTGACCCGAATCGGCTTATTGTGGGGGCCTGCTAGGCTCTTGTGGGCCCCTTGGGAGCTCAGGATGTGAAGGTTTCATCGCCGTACTACACCGCGCCGAAGCAGGCTTTCCAATCGTAGTCATAGGGTTCTTGGGCAGCCAACACGACGATGATGGTTTTCGCGGATGTTTGTCGGAAGGTGAGCATCTACAACGGAAATGCCGCCGGGAACCCAAGCCACGTGATTGCGCAGCTACCCGAGGACAGCCCTAAGCCCTGACCCCAAACTCCTTTGCCTCGATCCGAGGGCAAAGGCGAGGGCAAAGGTCGTGGACCGGCTGCAGATCGATCCCAGGCCAACTCGATAGATCGAACCCCGGACTCCTCAGCCAATACTGCAAGATGCTGCACAGGGCGGTGACGGCCGGAGACCGTCCGCGCAGGCCAGCCAGGCAAGCCCGTGAACTTTGGACCAATAGGGCCTTTTGGGATCATGGAAAAACAAGCAGTTTGTTGGCTTTTTCAGTGCCCTGTCAGCTTTGAGGGGCAGCTGCCAACGAGTTGAGAAGTCTGTGGGGGCAACCTTGCAGGTGGCCAAGCTGGTGGTCGAGTTCTGGCCGAAGGACGGGGGTGCTCGGACTCTGAATTGATCGGTCGTCACCTGCGCAAACCTGGAGAAAGGTTGACAGCACTAATGTGCAATAATAATAATAATAATAATGAGAATAAGAATAATACTTGTAATAATACTAGCAATACTAGTAATAATACAGAAAGAATAAGAAGAATAAGCAGGAGCCTGGCGTGTACCCTTGCACAGTGACCCTGACCTCCGACGTGGACATCCGCATCTACCAGTTCGAGGGCCTCGAGCTCAATCCCGTAGCCGAGCTGTGCCAGAAATTCATGTCTGGCTGGTTCTTAGTAGGGAATGAGGGAATGAGGCCCCTATATAATCCCTTAAAGGGATTATATAGGGCCCTCATTCCCTCATTCCCTCATTCCCTACTAAGAACCAGCCAGTCATTTAGGAAATGTCGACTTGAGCTGTCGACCCAGGGACGGGCACTGCGCCCAACACGCATTGCTCGCTGACTTTCACCACGCAAGCTCGGCCGCTGCATCTGCACTTCAAACTTGCCACTGCTATTTTATTACAGTAACTATTATTACTTTGTATTTATTTCTTTGAAGTACGATGAGAATGGCTGCTCTCAGAAGTGAAATGGCTACTAGTCTTCTCATGACCACTGTACTTCTTCTGCCAAGGAAGCCGATCACCCAGGAGAGCCGCACTTGAGGGGGCTGGGGACCTTTCAGAGCGAAGCGCTCTCGCTTGGAGCCATCTTCCCTTTTTTTTGGGGATTGGGGGCTTGGGCTTGGGGTTGTTCCTGGGCCACACAACTGTGACGGTGTGTAGGTCCCAACCAAAGCTCCAGGAGATTCCGATTGTGAATCCTACGGACCGAGAATGGGCAGCTTAGATGCGCAGTTAAGTTGTCTCCTTGTGCTGAAGAGAGACAGGCTGCCCTTGCAAAGGCCCAAATTCTTTGCTGCTATTCAGGCAATCAAGCCGACATTCTCGCAGATCGGGCATGAGTTTGACGGGCCCCGGGAGTTCTTCGCCAAGAAGAAGGGTGTCCTGCTCTCAGGGGGGAGAGCCTTTGCCAGGCTGGCACGGCCACCTCGCGCGCAGCGTGCGGACAAGCTCTGCCAAGGCAACAGGGCAGGCCACCGTGACGACGTATCCGCTGACCTTCAAGCCCGAATGGGTCTGCGACGTGAAGGCCGGGCTCTTGGAGCGATCAGAGGTTCCTTGATTAAGAAGGACACAGGCTAAGAGAGGGCCTGTGTTCCCACGCGTTCCCGCGTGCATCTTTTTTGTTCCAAGGCACAGTTGGTGCTGTACAACGTGGGTACCAACGAAACATATGAGCCGGGTCCTTAGTGGATCCTACGCCACTCCTGCGCAAATGGGAGACTACACCTACTAGATCTCTGGAGAGCTGCGAATGACATGGACGCTGTTATCTCAGCTTGTCTAGTGCAAGGTACGACCTTCACGGCATTGCGGAGGAGCCTTTGGCAGAGGAGCATGTGGTCGTGAAGTCCCCGCCTCAGCTGCCCCAGACCTCATGGAACCCCTCTATGTGTTTTTTTATTATATAGACCTATATGTCTACATAAATATACAAATGAGTAGACTGAATAGATAAAAACAATTATGAATAAGTATACGTATATATGAATAAATGTGTAATGAACATAAACATGAACAGAAATATAAGGATAAATACAGGTATACATATAAAAAACATAAAAAAGTAAGTATAGATAAAGATACCGATTTACATACAAATACAGAAAAAGATAGAAATAAAAAGACATAAATACAAACATATCAATAACTATAACTTTAAGCATAAATATGAGTATAGATAGACAAACAAATACACAAATATATAAATAAATATATATATATATATACATATATATGTATGTATACACATATATATATATATGTAAGAGGAACCTTTACGTATCATTTGACCTTTGTCCTTGCCTCCTTACTCCAATATGAAGAATTAGAAATTTAGGAATTCAGGCCTTAAGCCGAAACTCCTAAATTACTAATTCCTTGAAATTAGGAATTTGAAAAATGAGAATTGTTTTTGAGAAATGAGAACCATGTTGGGAGACCTGTGGAAAGCATTGAAATTGAAAAAAGAGATGTTTGTAGCAGCCCGCTGGAAGGTCCCAGGAAATAGTGAAAGGATATTTGCTCACAGTATTCTCGCGTCCCCGGGGGTTGCAGCAAAAGGTTTTATGCATCACCCTATGCGCTCGAAAACTTCCTAGTCTTATGGTTCGAGGCTTACCATCCTTCCTTCTCCATTAAATATCTGTCTTTGATATGCAAAAACACATGATGTGTGTACTTATTCTGCTTTTTCTCTGCGTTTCCACAGGAGGCAAGCACTACAAACACAGGCAAGGTTCAATTCCTATAGGTAACGCTGAAAACTGAAACACGAGATCCTTTAATCCTATAGGGTTTCATACTGACATACATACATACGTACATACGTACATACAGACATACGCAGTTGTTGTAGGGCTAACCCCGTGAAAGCTTTAGAGGTAAACCCTTAAAACCCCTGGACCTGCAAACCCTATAAGGTGTAAAGGTTTAAACACCTGCCTAAGGTCTGGGCATTTATACCTTAGCGCCTATACGGTTAAAAACCTTTGAACCCTTTAGAGCCCTATAGGGTTTCTCTATGGGCTTAGTTTTACATGCCTAAATCTTAAACCCTAAACCTTTAAATCTTAACCCTATAGGGATTAAAGGTTCGCCGAAATACGAACCTAAATGGTATAGGGTTAAGGTCTCAATACCTAAATCTTAAACCCTTAAGGTTTAAACTTTATGGGCTTAGGTTTACATGCCTAAATCTAAACCCTAAACCTTTAATTCTTAACCCTCTTGGGTTTAGCAGGGGCGGGAAGTCGCAGCATGTAAAACCCCAAAAACGCAGCGGCTGACTTCGCCCCCCGAACCAACACATACATCCTATGTACCTGTGCGACGCGTTAGAAATTCTACCTTTTCACACAACGCATATACTCTTCGTTTTTTGGAAAGAACACGAGGGACGAAGAGAAAGGACCTTCTCTTCCCATTTTCCTCGTCAAAAGGAAAAAGAAAATATCTGGATAGAATTGAAGAGAGAAGAGAGCGATGGAAAAGCAATGAGAAACAAGAAGGATAGCCTTTTCAGTCTATATAATGTTTCCTTCTTCTGATCGTTTGTTCTTCTGTCTTCGGTTTGTGCCTTGCCTTCCGCTTTTCCTTTGAAGAAGACAGAAAGGAAAGGGTGCGAATGGAGTTTCCTTTGCACGCTTTGATGAGAGGAACACGTAAAGAAGAGAAGAGAAAAGAAGAGAAGACATGGAGACTGAGGACAGGGGGGGTTTCTTCCTCCTCTGACCTATCCATTTTCTGAATAAGATAAGAGAGAAGCGCTCTTGTCCATTCTTTGTTGTGCAGTCTCTTCCTCTCTCGCTGAGTGAGAAAAGAAAAGAGCAAGGCCACCGAAAAGGGACAAGGAGAACTTCTTCTTCGTTTCTTTAGCAGTTCCCTTGAGTTTCCTAAGCAAAAAAGAACAGAAGACCTGGGAACGCAGGAGAGAAAGAAAGCAAAGAGAGGGTGTAAGGGCACTCAGCGGCCTCCCTTCTTGCCACGAACAAAAACAATCCATCCTCCCCTCTTTTCCCGTCCATTAACTTCTCTTTTCCTTGTCCTCTTGTGTATTCATTTGTCACGTGTAAAAGAAAGCAAAGAAGAGAGAGGAGAGATAAGAGAGACGAGAGAGGATGATGGTGGCGAGATTCATGTGTATTCTTGCATGTTCAGTTTTCCTGCTGTAAGAAAAGCGCTAAAGAAGTGGGAAAACAAAGACGATGCAGGATGAGTAGTGAGTGAAATTGGCGCCTTGCATATGTATTTGTCTTTCTGTAACGAGATAGACTACAGAACAGGGATAAGAGGGCAGAGGGAATTTCTTCGCCCTGTCGTATTCCTTTCTTCCAGACGAGAAGCAAATGGATAAGACAAGATGGAAAGAGACATTCTTTGCTTCGCTGCAGATTGTGGGAAGAAAACAATGGGTTTAGAATCCAACAGTAGACTGCTTGGGGAACAAGGTTTCCCTTTGCTCTTTTTGTGAAAGTCGGGCAAAGAAGAGAGAGAGAGAGAGAGAGAGAGAGAGAGAGAGAGAGAGAGAGAGAGAGAGAGAGAGAGAGAGAGAGAGAGAGAGAGAGAGAGAGAGAGAGAGAGAGAGAAGAGAGAGAATGCGAAGGATGAAGGTAGGAGATGATCTGCAAGAAGAGAGCTGAACAAGATCGAGAAGAGAGGAGAGGGAGTTTCTTCTTCTTCCGCTTATGTATCCGTTGTTTTTTTTCAAGCGTTCCTTGCTGTTTCCCTTCTACTGTGTCTTCCTCTCTTGCTGACTGAGAAAAGACAAGATTCTTAAGATCAAGGACAGCGAAAGGGACAGGGAAACCTTTTTCGCCTTTCTTATCTGTCCCTTTGAATCTCCTCAAACCATGAACAGAAGACATAGGCACGCAGGAGAGAAAGAAAGCAAATGAGAGCGAACACAGGAAATCAACCCTGCTCCAGGAAAAGAGGGAGCCCCTTTCTGCAACTCACAAAACAATTTTTTCTTCCCTCTCTCTGATCGTCAGTTTGCTTCTTTTTGACCTGTCTTATTTTGCCCGTAAGAGAAGACAAGCACTCGGGTCAGCTCCTTGTCGTTTTCTCCCAGTTGTCTCTTCATGTCTTTTTGTGTATTCATTTGTTTCGTATGCAAGAAAAGAGCCAAAGCAGACGGAAAAGCGAGGAGTGCGTTTCCTCCCAGTCTTATGCGCTCATTCTTCTCAATAAGATAATAGAGAGAAGCACTCTGGTTCATTCTTTGCTGTTTTCATCCTACAATCTCTTCCTCTCTCGCTGAACGAGAAAAGAAGAGAGCAAGGGCAACGACAAGGTACAAGGAAAACTTCTTCCTACTTTTGTCCATTCTTTATTGTTTCCCCCCTGCAGTCTCTTCCTCTCTCGCTGAATGAGAAAAGAAAAGAGCAAGGGCAACGAAAAGGGACACGGAAAGCGTCTTCCTCTTTTTTTTGCAGTTCCCTTGAGTTTCCTAAGCAAAAAAGAACAGAAGACCTGGGAATGCAGGAGAGAAAGAAAGCAAAGAGAGGGTGTAAGGGCACTCAGCGGCCTCCCTTCTTGCCACGAACAAAAACAATCCATCCTCCCCTCTTTTCCCGTCCATTAACTTCTCTTTTCCTTGTCCTCTTGTGTATTCATTTGTCACGTGTGTAAGAAAATATTTGGCTTCGAACATCCCCACCCTCTCTTGGTAGAGATACTCTGGGGTTGGGCACTCCAGCAACACTCTGGGGCTGGGCTCTCGAGGGAGACACTGGTTTGGGCTTCAGGGAGACTCTGGGTTTGGGCACTGGGGTTGGGCCTCTGGGGTTGGGCCTCCAGAAACTCTGGGGTTGGAGACTCTGGGCTGGGCACTCCTGGAAACGGTGGGGTTGGGCGCCCTAGGGAGACTCTGGGGCTGGGCTGGGGTTGTCTGGGGTTGGGCACTCCAGGGCCACTCTAGAGTTGGGCACTCCAGGGACACTTTGAGGTTGGGCGCTCCAGGGATGAGCGAGGAGTAGACCGGGCGAGGAGAAGAGTTCCGGGCGAGGAGAAGAGTCCCGGGCAAGGAGAAGAGTTGAGGTCAAAATCAAACAACCCCACACCGAGGGTGGGCAACAAAGAAGAGAGAAGGGAGATAAGAGAGACGAGCGAGGATGATGGTGGCGAGATTCATGTGCATTCTTGCATGTTCCGTTTTCCTGCTGTAAGAAAAGCGTGGGAAAAGAAAGACGTGGCAGGATGAGTAGTGACTGAAATTGGCGCCTTGTATATGTATTTGTCTTTCTGTAACGAGATAGACTATAGAACAGGGATAAGAGGGGAGGGGGAATTTCTTCGCACGCCCGACTTTCACAAAAAGAGCAAAGGGAAGCCTTGTTCCCCAAGCAGTCTACTGTTGGATTCTAAACTCATTGTTTTCTTCCCACAATCTGCAGCGAAGCAAAGAAGGTCTCTTTCCATCTCGTCTTATCCATTTGCTTCTCGTCTGGAAGAAAGGAACAAAGAAGAGAGAGAGAGAGAGAGAGAGAGAGAGAGAGAGAGAGAGAGGAGAGAGAATGCGAAGGATGAAGGTAGGAGATGATCTGCAAGAAGAGAGCTGAACAAGATCGAGAAGAGAGGAGAGGGAGTTTCTTCTTCTTCCTCTTATGTATCCGTTGTTTTTTTCAAGCGTTCCTTGCTGTTTCCCTTCTACTGTGTCTTCCTCTCTTGCTGACTGAGAAAAGACAAGATTCTTAAGATCAAGGACAGCGAAAGGGACAGGGAAACCTTTTTCGCCTTTCTTATCTGTCCCTTTGAATCTCCTCAAACCATGAACAGAAGACATAGGCACGCAGGAGAGAAAGAAAGCAAATGAGAGCGAACACAGGAAATCAACCCTGCTCCAGGAAA